GTCCAAGGCGTGCTCGGCGACCTCCCTCGGTATGCCTGGCATGTCCGAGGGGCTCCATGCGAACATATCGGCATTCGCGCGGAGGAAGTCGATGAGCACGGCTTCCTATTTGCTGTCGAGGGTGGCGCTGACCCTCAACGTTCGGCCGTTGGAGCAGTTGGGGTCAACTGGGACAAGCTTGACAGTCTCTGTGGGCTCGAAAGTCCTGGCGCGGCGCTTGGAGTTGGGTACTTCGCTACCGAGTTGGTCAAGGTTGAAGATGAGTGCCTCGGCCTCCACGATAGCCTCTGCGTATTCGATGCATTCGACGTCGCAGTCGTATGCATGCTCATACGTGAACTCGACGGTGATGACGCCGTTGGGGCCGCGCATTTTGAGCTTGAGGTAGGTGTAGTTTGGGACCGCCATGAACTTGGCGTAGCACGGGCGCCCTAGAATGGCGTGGTAGGTTCCCTTGAACCCAACCACCTCGAAGGTGAGGATCTCTTTGCGGTAGTTGGAGGGAGTGCCGAAGCAGACCGGCAAATCAATGCGTCCGAGGGGTCGGGCGTGCTTCCCTGGCATGATGCCGTGGAAAGGTGTGGCACCCCCTCGGAGCATCGACTGGTCGAGCTCTAGGAGCTCCATGGTGTTGGCGTAGAGGATGTTGAGGCCGCTACCTCCGTCCATCAGCACTTTGGTGAGCTGAGTGTTGCCGATAATCGGGTCGACGACGAGCGGGTATTCCCCGAGGTTTGGGACATAGTTGGGGTGGTCCTCCCGATCGAAGGTGATCGCCTCCCGAGACCAATTAAGGTACTGGGGAGTAGCTACCTCAACCGAGAAGACTTCCCGGCGTTTCCTCTTTCATTGACGCGCCGTGAGGCACGCTGAAGGCCCGCCAAAGATCATGAAGGCATTGTGCACCTCAGGGAACCCGTCGTCCTTGTCGTTGTCTTTGTCGCCGGTGCCCTTCTTCCTGGCATCGTCGTCGGGAAGTCCGAGCTTGGCGTAGTAGCGTCGGAGCATGGTGCACTCTTCGAGGGTGTGCTTTACCGGGCCCTGATGGTAAGGGCACGGCTTCTTGAGCATGTCGTCGAAAAGTCCGGGGCCTCTGGTGGGGCCTCGAGGATTCCCGCGATCCGCGGCTGCGACAAAATCGGCCTCGAGGGTCTCTTGCTTCCCCTGGCGCCCCTTTTTCTTTTTCTTGGAGAAATGGGAGGGCGAGGCCCCAGAGGTCTCGTCCCTCCGCTTCCCCTTTGCTTCGCCGTCGGGGAAGATGGCTCCGACAGCTTCTTCGCCCGAGGCGAAGTTGGTGGCGACGTCGAGGAGCACGGCCGCCGAAGTTGGTATGTTCCGGCCTAACTCTCGGACCAGGTCTCAGCAAGAGGTGCCAGAGAGAAAAGCCTGGACAACTTCCGAGTCACCGACGCTGGGCAACTCGGTGCGCTGCTTGGAAAAGCGCCGGATGAAGTCTCGGAGAGACTCATCCGGCTTCTGGCGACAACTCTTGAGGTCCCAGGAGTTCCCGGGGCGCACGTATGTGCCCTGGAAATTCCCGACAAAGACCTTGACCAAGTCGCGCCAGTTGTGAATTTGTGAGGGAGGGAGGTGTTCGAGCCAGGCTCGCGCCGAGTCTGACAGGAACAAGGGGAGGTTACGGATGATGAGCAGGTCATCGTTCGCGCCACCTAGCTAACAAGCCAGGCGGTAATCGGCTAGCCACAGCTCGGGGTTGGTCTCGCCACTATACTTTGCGAGATTGGCCGGTTGCCGGAACCGGGCAGGGAATGGAGCACCGCGGATGGCCTTGCTGAAGACTCTAGGGTCAGGCGGCCCAGGAGAAGGACTGCGTAGCGGCCACCTCGGTGTGGGTGGTAACCTCGGGTGAGCCGTCGTTGTCGTGGCGCCGTCGCCTGCTGACCACGTCGTGGTCCTCTTGCGCCTCGCGTCGGTCGCTGAGGCGGTCGTGGACTGAGGGGGCCTTGATGCGATCGTGCACCAAGGGCCGCTTCGAGATGTTCTCACGTCGCCGAGAGGCGGAGCTCTCGGCCTGCTGTACTACGGCGGTCTCGAGAAGGGCTCGGAGCTCGCCGCGGACCCGTCGCCCATCCGTGGTAGAGGGCTCGGGCATCGCTCGGACTAGCATCGCCGCCGCCGCGACGTTCTGGCTAGCGCGATTGAAGATTGGGGGTTGCTCACTTCCTTCATCGTTGTTGATGCGGCGGTGTACGTCGTGGGCCCTCTGCCGTCACCGCGGCCTTGCTGCTCCTGCTCGAGAGTGTCTCGGAGCTGCTGCAGCAGGAGTCGATCTTGGTCGACTTTTGCCTGGAGCTCACGGAGCTGCTCCAGGTCCAAGCGTCGGATATCCCCGGGGGCGATGTTCACGTTCCGCGCCGCCCGGAACTTGACGAGCGGGGGTGTGGCGTCGCCCGCCCCTTGGCAGAGTGGGGACCGGTTGCCTGCCCTCTCACCCTCGTCACTAGCCCCTGGCATTCCGAGCCCGACGTGGAAACACTCTCGAGTGGGATCGTAAGTGCTTTCGTCATCGGAGTCGGAGTGGCCGAAGCAGTAGTCGCTTGCGGCCAAGAAGCGGCGCATAGCCTCGGGGTCACGAAGCCTGGAGAAGTCCGCTCCGGCCCATGCCTCGTCCTCCTCCAAGGATTCAGTGTGGGTGTGGGTCGAGATTGTGGTGGAGAAGTCGAGGGCGAATCGTTGGTGGTGTCCCGCGGGCTCCGCGTGCGCAGAGGCGTAAGCGAAAGCGTAGGTGGCGGCGATATTTTTCAGCCCAAAGAGGTACGAGGATGGTGCCACCGCTGGGCTCTGCTCTGCCTGAGTCGATTCCTCAGGGAGTGGCGGGGCAGAGCTTGACGACGGGACGTCGCTGCGCGCTACTGGCGTCTCTTCCCTGCCCAGGCTTAGGCTAGACAGGTCCCCAGCCAGGGACTCTGTACCAACAGCCGGGCAAGGGATGTCGGCGGAGTGCGGCGCGCAGCCCTAAGTTCGCGTGGCGTCGGAGTAGTCCCGCTCGCGTCGTGCCTGGCGAGCGTGACGAGAGCGGTGGCCCGGGCGCCGCCTGCGCCCAGGCTGCCGATGCGCGACGTTGTCGCAGGCCGGTGGGGCTCTGGGTGTGAGGAGTACCATATCGTACTCACATCCTAGAGCCATGAACTCTAGGCTCCCAAACCAGACCATCGTGCCAAGACGTAGTGGATGTATGGGGTCAGCCATCCAGAACTTGTTGGGATGATCACGCTAACACGCAGAGGCCCCTACCTGGCGCGCCAACTGTCGGTGTTTCGGACCGAGGGGTCCTCAACCAACCAGTAAATGTGAACTGCGTGCCCCTAATCCCGGATGGTGATGCAAAGAGACACAAGGTTTATACTGGTTCAGGCAATCGGTGCCCTACGTCCAGTCTAGGAGATCGATCTTGTATTCTTTGCACCGAAGTGCTTGTAGTAGGGGGTTACAAGCTGGGTGAGAGAGGGAGCTAGTCCCAGGTCTCGGCGTGGAGTGGTGCGGGCTGCTTGAGTCGTTGCTCTCAGGCAGCGTGGGAGCGTGCGTGAATTGAGTGAGTGCGTTTTGCGCGTGAGGGCCGGCGTGGTCTCGATCCATAGAAACGGCCCTGGCTGCTTCCTTTTATAGCCACAAGGAGGGAGCCAGGAGTACATGAGAGAGCTACACGTGGAGCCTTAGCGAGGAAGGAAGATCCAGTACTGTGGCCTATTCCTGTAGCAGCACAGTGTCGGGAATGGCAATTGGTACTTGATCACTGGTGCGTCATGCCGGCCATGCCTGAGGCTGTTGAAGTCGTAGGGGTCCTCGTTGACGTTTAGTCAGCATGGCCTCCTCTGTAGGTGACATGCCGTGCCTTGTGAATTTTTGACTTGGTGGTTCGCCGAGGCCTGGCAGGTGTTTGTGGCCGGCCGCGCCGAGGCCTGATTTGCCGAGGCCTGGGAGGTGACCTGAGTACGATGCGGCGGTCTCGGTGGTCAGCGTCGTACCCGGTTTAGGTGGAAAAGTGCAGGGCGTGTGTCCGCAAAGCACGGTAGTCCCTGCACCGTCAGTGGGGAATGGTAAAAAAGGAGATTTGACCGCCGTCCCATCGCCCCTGTTGCTATGCCCTGCCAATCGTGGCTGACGTAGGCGCAACCAGGGGTACTTACACGGATGGGACGGCCCGCCAGAGGGGCAGTTGAGGCGGAGACGACGAGGATGCGGGACGAGCCCGGCCTCGGCCGAGGCGGAGAAGGAATAGTACGTCTGAGACCCTGCCGGGGGGTCTCGGACGAGGCGTAGAACGAGCAGTTGGGCTCTCCTGCGGTTTCCGAGACTACAGGGACATGGACTTGACCTTCCATGCTGCTTTGTCCTTGGCACAGGGGTTAGGTAGCACAGTGATGAGCACAGTGGCAGGTAACCCCTGTTGCGCCCGGTCCCCTGTCCCGTCGGTCGTTCTGCCCGTACTGTACCTGAGTGCGGCTGACGTTTGCGGGAGTAGTTGGGCGCATTAATCTGGACGTGACGTTTCGTCAGAGGAGTTTGGTCGGGACGGAGGTTACGAGTATGTTTGCCGAGCCCGGCCTCGAGCGAATCGGAGAATTGGCATCCCATCCGAGGCCTTTCGGGGCGAGGCCTCGGCGAGAGGGTCTCGGCGAGAGGGCCTCGGCGGGGCGCTTTTGGCCTTTCGTATGAGGCCTCGGCGCAAGGCCTCGAGCGAATCGGAGAATTCTGCAGAGACCTGGCGGTAGTCTTTTGGCTTTGATTTTTGTAAGGTTTAAGCAATATTTTTTGTTCTTGTTTACGGTACCCCTTCTTGTGGTATCCGACACTTCTCTCTCGAACTCGCATGGCTTGATGTCAACCGGAAAGTTGTAAAAAAATTTGGAAACAAAGGACCCTCGCTCGTTGTTTACTGCATCTTATCATAGCAAGAAATACAAAGATATATTTGGCCTTTGCTTGACGATTTTTCCATGCTGTCGTCCACTTGTGCTTGCAGACACTTCTAGGTGACCATGAACATCGGGGAGCCGGCGAAGCCCTACTTCCTGGACATCGACACCGGCCGCAACCTCACCTGGCTCGAGTGCCACGACAACAATGGTCCCTGCAACACCTGCAACAAGGTATATTATATCGGTGCTGCAGAACGCAAACGCACGCACATATATATGCATCTCGCCTTTATTTTCAGCTTCATTGGAAATAAATTTGACTAGAAAAACGTAGTAGTCAGAAACAATTTGTGCTTGTGGATGGTGCACACAAAGATCACCATGAACTGCACTATGTTTGATGCTATATATATATATATCTTGGTGATCCTTGTCCCTGCAGGTGCCACACCCACTGTACCGACCGACGCTGAAGAAGCTCGTTCCATGCGCAGATCCTGTCTGCGACGCGCTGCACAAAGACCTGGGTACAACCAAGGACTGCAGAGCTGCACCGCGCCAATGCGACTACGAAAAAATACACTACCTAGATGGATCGTCATCTCTTGGTGTGCTCGTCCTTGACAAGTTCTCATTGCCTACGGGCAGTGCCCCCAACATCGCCTTTGGGTATGCAACAGAATATATGCATGGATATTACATTCTCTTTGCATTGCTCACTGGATATGTTCATGACAGTTTGTAGTTTTCTTAACTTCTGCATGCAGCTGTGGGTATGATCAGATGCAGAACTCCAAGAAGGCCCCCAAGCGGGTCCCGGTCGATGGCATCCTTGGGCTTGGAAGGGGCTCGGTAGACCTCGTCTCGCAGCTGAAGCACAGTGGAGCCGTCTCCAAGAATGTGATAGGCCAATGCCTCAGCTCAAAGGGAATGTAACCTGGGTCCCCATGGCTCCAACAGCACCCGGGTAAGCACTATACTATGCTTATCTTTTCATGCAAAGTGCTTGGTTGTTCACGATGATGGTCTGAGAAGTCTGTTAGTTTGTTGTGAATTTCATTGCTTCATTTTATTCAAGCATGCACACACTATTAGCACTATGTAACAGCACTGATTCCTGCACAGCTGCATATCATATACATATACATATACTGCATTTCCAGGTAATAATCACCATTTAACAGGACACATTTTTTATTGATGCCCCCTTTTGCTTCTCAATCTTGTAAAAGGAACCACTTTCTCTTCAGGAAAATGGAAATTCAATAATGGAAACTAGTTGAGAAGGATACCACTGAACTTTCTTTTCTTTTGACGACTTTGTTTCAACGTGTTTCCAGGGAACCTAATCACTACTCGCCGGGCCAAGCAACCCTGCACTTGGATAGAAACCCGATAGGCACAAAGCCGTTGAAGGCGATCTTCGACAGTGGCAGCACTTACACCTTGATGCCTGAGAATCTACATGCTCAGCTCGTTTCTGCGGTATGTTCCTAATCAGTAATCACAATTCATTATTAATCCCCAGGTACCACGATTATTAGAGACAGTAGACATAGGATTCATGACATGTGAAGGATGTTGCTGCAGCTGAAGGCCTCTCTCAGCAAGTCATCACTCAAGCAGGTGTCTGATACTGATACTGCACTGCCTCTATGCTGGAAAGGACCTAAACCTTTCAAAACTGTGCACGACCTCCCGAAAGAATTCAAGTCACTGGTCACTCTGAAATTTGACCATGGAGTCACCATGACTATCCCTCCTGAAAACTACCTCATTATCACTGTAAGCACTCCAAACACAGCTGACTGTCAGCAGTGAATGCTAATTTGTCAAAAAAGGAGGAGAATGATTTAAATTCTTGTGCTTTTGTGTTTGTGGCAGGGGCATGGGAATGCATGCTTTGGCATTCTTGAACTGCCAGGCTTCGATCTGTTCGTGATTGGAGGTACAAAATTTTGCATATACCATGCTCAATTCAGAATACAGTGTTCAGGCATACATATCTGTAAAATATTTTTGATTCCAGTGGTGCTCTGTTTCTGCAGGCATCTCAATGCAGGAGCAGCTTGTGATATACGACAATGAGAAAGGGAGGCTTGCATGGATGCCATCACCGTGTGATAAAATGCCCAAGTCCAAAGCTGCGATCATTTCGCGCATCTGAAATCCTGAATGAAGTTGCCAGTACCTGATGGGATGAAAGATTGAAGAAGGTGAAGAAGAGAATAAAGAAAAATTAAGGATTGTAAGAAAGGAACTCTATAAACAAGAAACTTGTGTGTGTACCTCCTGATCAGTGATCAATGCTCATAATAAAGCATATTTGATCATTATGTTTGTTTTTCGCCTGAGATGGTTTTTTTCCTTTCTGTGAACGCACCTGAGATGTTCTTTGTGCTGTCATAAATTTGATTGTGCAGTCCATATATATGCCTCTTTCATTAAAAAAGAAACAATTCCTTCGATGCTATGTTTTACCTGGGTAGCCTCCAGGAATGACTGGAACTGTAATTGTAGACATGGTATTTGGTTAAGCTGAGAGAGGTAGTAAAAACAGGACCAACTCAGCTTCTTTGTGTTCAACGTTAGCGTCTGTATTTCACAGTTTTATACAAGTGGTGCAGTGGAGTGACAGTTGTGGCACAGAATCATCATTAATTTTTGTTTTTTTTTTAAATGTGAAAGAAGTTCTACCTATTATTGAGATGAATAATGGAGTATAACAACTAGGGTCCAGCGCTGGCGGCCCCATAGCTTGGCATAAGAACTCTAGTGTGTCTGCCCTGGCACCCTGCAGCAATTGAAGATTGTCCTGATCAACTGCACTCTATGTAGTATAGTTGTGGTTTCCAAAAGCAGTACGGCTGCTGCTGCTGCCTTGTAGAATTTGACCCTTGTTTAGAACGAATTAAATCCTGCTATACGCATATGACGGTACTGTATGGCTAGTTCAAAGCAGGGACTACATTCACCATAGCACAACGCAATAACACTCGCCTTACATATCGGTCATATGTATACCTGTTTACTTTCAAAATAATTTATTGATAAAGCAAACAAAATATATGATGCTATATGAAATTTTGCGTCAACTATAGAATAGAACTGCCAGTGTGTACACAGTATGCATAATTACATATTGACAATAGAGGACACATGATTCTGTGAAACTGATGTATCCTAAGATCATGATAGATGAGTTTGAAAATTACTGTGTAGTTCTATCTCATGAAGTGTATAAGAATACTCTGCACTCTTAATTTGCCATAGATTTATTGGAACCTGTCGTGCACAAGGTGAGATGCTCAGCCTATTCTAACTCTATATATACTACTACAAAAATGATTTTGCGAGACACTGTCCAAACATTAACGGAGGGGGTCACAAAATCCATCCGTCTCGTAAAATGCCTGAGGATTTTTGAAGGCAGACGGTTTCATTTACGGAGGCGGTCAAAATTAACCGTCTCGCAAAATGCATTTATGGAGGCGGTCACGGTTGTCCGCCTCGTAAAATCGATTTATGGAGGCGATTCCTAAAATCTATTTATGGTCCATTTTTGGAGGCGGACCTCCTAAAAGGCCCGCCTGTGTTAATGTGGCTGAGGCCCAACCAAAGCCCATATCCAACTTTCTACTGGGCTTATATAAATGGAAGCATTGATTGAGGAGATAATTTTTTGAAATAATGGTTATTGAGGCTGATGGAGAGGTAGTGGGGCCATCAACATGAATTTCATTCATTCATGCATGCATCATGCATGTAATCTTGTGGATTGCTTCATTCCCCATTGGGTAGCCCGCTTGCACACACAGTTAACTAAGGAAGATATGCATCCTTTTCCATTAGTTAGTATAACAAACAATATTGAATCATTATAATAATTAGGATAACTAGGTCCTTGAGCACTAATATGTTTTAGAGTTGCTAGAGTTATATGATTTTTAGGAGAGTGGGAGTATATAATATAGTAACATACTTGAATTGCATATTTTTAACAGTGAACTTATCGGTGATTAGTGGCTTTTTTCAAACGATATGCATGTGTCTATTCTCCCACATGAACATGTATTGAGGGAATGTCTAGTTTTCCATATCAGAAAATCTTGAGGCGTGAAGGTCAAAGTGAGATCTGACTTGGAATACTAATCAGGTGTATGATGATAAGGTAAGTAAGCCCCATGAAAAAACTGATTTTGTTAGGAAGAAAGATCTTTTTGCAAGACAATATGTGAGAAAGGAGGTTTGAGAGCTGACTTGAAGAATGTGAAAATGGGAAGCACAATTGAGCATTACAAAATTAAGCTTAGTGACCTTTTACATATATTTGTGCTAATTTCCTGAAGCTTATAGCACTAGAGAATCGATCAGTATCCCATGGTGCTCAAGTCAAGCATTGCATTCAGTTTTTAGCAAAGTGACAATTACAGATCAATAGATGCTTTGAAATGGAATGCCTATTTTCCTTAAGAACATATAGTATGCGTGTTGTTGAAACTTCCTGAGTTCTTGTCTATACGTTCTAAATTATACGAGTAAGTCTCTTTGACTGTTTTGGTTAATCCGTTTTACTATGTATATAGACATATTATTATATCTAGGTGCATATCAAAATGGATGTATCAAAAAAAGACAAAGCGATTTATAATTTGGAACGGATGGAGTACCAACTTGTGTAATCAAAATATCTTGCTAGATGTAATACTCATGCAAGACTTTTGAGCCCAAACCCATCCTAATGCAAAGCCAAACATGATGAGCAATCAGTTCTAGGATCGTCTGCAAGGGGCCTGCTACTTCCTATTTCTCCTCCTCCCCCTCCTCCTCCTCCTCCTCCTCTCTCTCTCTCTCTCAACTTCCTCCTCTTCATCCATGAATAAAAATTGTTGGGGTTTTAAGGATGTTTCATTGTCAGCTTGGAGGTACGGGGCACGACAGACGCCTCCTCTCTCTCTCTCTCTCTCAAGGGTGTTTGATGCATAATTATCCATGCTATTTTCCATGATATTTATATATAGATTAGCATGGAAAATTAGTCGTTTCCATTGTAAGCGAAGACTCTTGCATTTTAGATTCATTACTCTCTCTCTCTCTCTCTCTCTCTCTCTCTGCGAGTGGCTATTGAAGATTCCTTGCATTGTAAATGCTCAAAGTGGGTCACTGAAACTTCGTGCATGTACCTTTTTAGGATATAACCTATTGTGTGTAAGCAAAATATCTTGCAAATGCTAATATTTTCTCAAGGCAACACTTTCAAACACAAACCCATCTAAATGCAACATGAGACATGAAGAACACATACCAACATACTAGCATCCAACAATTTTCAAACAACCTCCTACTAAAAATGAGCTAGTGAAAAATTAGTAGCTATACCTATTAGCTAGCTAATTTTTAGTGCTAATAGATCCAAACAGGTCCTAAATCTGACGATGGACAATGGCGACAATCAAGGCTTCACCTGTCACATATGCCCCAAGACATCTACTCCTTCACCTCTTTTACAAGCACCTCTTCCTGGTCGACCTCAGCTTTGGGGAATCACGTCGACTGCATGCCAAGGCAGCTCCGACTGCACACAGGCCTAGCGCGGCAGGTTCTCCTCACGGATACAGGGGTTTTTTGGTTTGTGATATGAGAACGTGCCTGGTCCAGGAAACTGATCCCATGCATTCATTTTGCTCTGCCAGGGCTGAGGATTGTTGCCTGGCTGCTCAGCTGCCTACCAATCATCATCCAAACACGCCCATAGGGCCTGTTTGCTTGTCTCCCAAGCAAGCTTGCCTGGTGTCGGCGTTGCTCCCAGACGTCTAATTTCTGGTGCCTGGGGACAGGATCGCTGCCTGTGGGGGGCAGCTTGCCTGGGAGGCTGTGAAGCAAACACACCCATAAAACCACCGCTCATGCTAGCCCGAGTTCGACGAGGTAAAAGGGATATGGAAAAATCCGACTTGTCGTGCAGTCTCACGCTTAAGCCTCATGCCATCAGAGGAGAGTTCTTAAAGCTTTATAGCCTCACCTCACACAATCTCGACTAGAACACAAAATGGGGTTTGATCCCCATGTAATTTTCGCATAGGGAGATAAAGAAGTTGATGTACAAGATGCTATTGGGGTCGAAATGATGCACCTATGCCTCTTAATGGTACAGGAGATCCTGGAAGAACCAATGCGTTGGTACCACTTCTGCGGTATCGAGCAACAGAAATCTATGTCCGGTGGCCAGTTTCCAGTTAATAAGCTGGCCCAATCACCAGTTAGATCAAGAGGAGTATACACAGTGCACATGCATCCAAAAAAGAGATGTATACTCGAACGAGCTTCTAGTTTGTTGTGAGCATGCCCTCAAGCGAACACAAAAAGTGGTCGATCAAATCTAACAAGTACATTGCTTGCTATTCGACCAGAGGTTTACGTCGTGCCCTCAGCTATGAATCCAGAGCTGGGTACTCAGCGTTGAGCACCCGGGCACCACTCATTCATCCAGTTTGTAACTCAACGAGTATAGACGTTGCTGCATGTGACACAAGGCGTCTATCAATCAACTGACGGTACTACTAGTGGCACCGTCCGACTAATGTTGTACTTGAAGTATGACCTAACTCGACTTATGTCAATCGTGAATTTTGATATAACTATCTAGCAAATATCTGTAATAAACGCACAAAGTCGTAGTTTCAAATTGATTTTGGTTTAGCCTTAGAAAATCATACCAATATATATGACACAATTGCCAATACATAGCTTACAGAAATTGATAGCTTTTTTATTTTTGCTATACACTACACCACTAATGCTTGCTGTCGAAGGAAAAGCTCCAATCAATTTGGTTAAGCTTTTGCTTAATGAAGGTGCTGACTCCAACGCTATTGGTGTTGTAACAACTCCATTGCTGCTTAGCTGCTAAGAACTCCGTGAATGCATAAAGTTATTATTGTGTGCGGGCGGTGATGCAAACATTTCTGATATGCATGGAAAATTTCCAATAGAAATTACTGCTCCAAAGGATTCTATGATTGCGTCAAGATCCTGTTCTTGTCTACGTCTCCACTGCCTAGTTACACAAAATGGAGTACCAGTGAGATAATTGAACAAGTTAATGCAGTAAGTTCTAACCCACAAGCATCATTTCCTTATTTGTTCTGTTTTGTACTTATTTTATGT